ACCTGACCTGTTGACAGGAACTGTTGTATTTCAAGTCTGTAGCAGTTAGTTTCAGAGAAGATGTATAGTATCCATTAAGATGAGGCCTTGATACCAGGAAGGTATTGATTGCATACTGGCTTATGAGAGCCTTTGGAGACAGAATATCTTTGGCTCCAAGAGATCATCTTATTTATCCTCAAACCAGCATAATTTAGGAGCCAACACTAAGCATGATAAGCCTTCTTTAGGGACAAGAATAGACAATGGTCCTGGATATACTTTAACTTAAAAAAAATATATGTGTATATATATATGATCCAGTATTGATCATATAATGATCATTTCAACATGTAGTCAGTACAGAAATTATTGATGAGATAATGTTATATTATTTTTTTATTCCATCTTCAAAATCTGATGTGTATTTTAACTTGCAGCTTGTCTCAATTTGGACCAGCCAATTTCAGATGTGGCCAATGCATACACTTTTGTGGCAAATCAAGTATTTTATCAAATTCCTTCTAAATGCCCAGTGTGCTTTTAGCTTCTTTGAGGGGTAGGGAAAAGTAGATTAAAGAACCCTGGACTTCCAGAGGTTAGATTTGACTCACTCAGCAAATATGTTAAAGTTGAGAAAAGGAGAGGCTCAAACAAGGCAGCACGTTATCATGTGAGCTTCAGCAAAGGAAAAATCTTTGTGGGCTACAATGGGCATGGAAGACTTTCTAGAGGATATGGGATTTGAGCTGTTCCTGAAAGGAATATAGCTTTTGCAAGGATGGACAAGAGGGAAAGGAGCATGCCCCGTGAGCCTGGAGAAAGGAACATTTCAGCAGAGGTACAAAGGAATGGGTGTTGTATACGTTGAGAACAGATAGGACTAGCTGGTCTAAAATGGAGATGTCATTCTGAGCAGTACTGAGAAATAACAGTGGTCTTCGCCATTTAACTAGATTTTGGATGAAATGAAAAGAAAACCCATAAGCATACTAGAGAAAAAATGTTTTAAAAAAGGTACTTTCTAAACATAAAAAGCCTAAAAGCCATCAGGGAAAAGACCAATAAATCTGACTACCTACGGCAAAGGAAAAAGAAAATCCAATAAAGTCAGAAGACATACACCAGCTAGGGAAACAATCTGCAATACATGTGACAGACAAAGGGTGAATTTCATTATAACAAACAACTCTTACACGTCTATTAGAAAAAGGCATTCACAAAAAAATGATAATGGCAGATAAAACACCTGAAAACTTGTTTAATCTTACTAATTACATGCAAATAAAAAATGCAAGAATATTTCAGCACTTACAACAATATTCACAAATTTTTTAGACAGTGATGGTGAGAATGTGGGAAGATAGGTATTCTTACACCCTGTTAGTGGGGATGGTAAATTAGCATAACCATATGGAAGGCAATTTCTCGATATTTATCAAAACGTACACTACACATACCCAGGAATTCCATTGCTAGGAATTTATCCTGTGGATATACTCACATAAATATGCAAGGATGTATGTACAATGTTATCCATTATAGTTGTCTGATAAAAGTGAGAAGCTGGCAACAATCTAAATGCCCATTGGTAGGAAACAAATAATATGGTACAGCCATGAATGGATTACTATGCAATTGTTAAAAAGAACAAGATAGTTCTATCTATGTTAAAATAGAAAGGTCTCCGAGATATTTTAAGTGTAAGAAGTAAGGTGCAGAACAGTATGAATGGTAAGAGTCCACTTTTGTACCTTTTAGATTTTTTTTTTTTTTGACAGAGAGCGAGCAGGAACACAAGCAGGGGGAGTGGGAGTGGGAGAGGGAGAAGCAGGCTTCCTGCGGAGCAGGGAGCCTGATGCAGGGCTCAATCACAGGACCCTGGGATCATGACCTGAGCCGAAGGCAGATGCTTAACGACTGAGCCACCCAGGCGCCCCTCACTTTTGTACCTTTTAAAAAGAATATATACATAGGAGGTAATAAAACATCTAAAAGTGAAAATCAATTTGCAGTGTGAGCATATTTAGTCATATTGAAGAATCAGCCAGAAAGTTAAAGTGGCTCATTACTGGAAATGGGAAATGCAGCACATAATTGCTCTTGTGTTGTTTGGTTTGTTAACCATATGCACATAATGCTTTTAAAAATAATGAATTTTATGGGGCGCCTGGGTGGCTCAGTCGGTTAAGCGTCTGCCTTCGGCTCAGGTCATGGTCCCAGGGTCCTGGGATCGAGCCCCACATCGGGCTCCCTGCTCAGCGGGAGGGGCCTGCTTCTCCCTCTCCCACTCCCCTGCTTGTGTTCCCTCTCTCGCTGTGTCTCTCTCTGTCAAATAAATAAATAAAATCTTAAAAAATAATAATAAAAAATAAAAATAATGAATTTTAAGTAAGTTTTGAAATTAAGTAGTATCTTTCTAAAAATAGCTTGCTTTCTTTTTTTTTTTTAATTTTTATTTATTTATTTGACAGAGAGAGAGATAGCGAGAGCAGGAACACAAGCAGGGGGAGTGGGAGAGGGAGAAGCAGGCTTCCTGCCGAGCAGGGAGCCCGATGTGGGACTCGATCCCAGGACCCTGGGATCATGACCTGAGCTGAAGGCAGACGCTTAACGACTGAGCCACCCAGGCGCCCCTCTAAAAATAGCTTTCTAAAAGAATTCTCATCACCTGTTGCCCCGCCCACCTGCCTATAACTTTTCCCTCAAAGCACAGTCAAAATTCTTGAAAAAGTTTTAAATACTTCTTGCCTCCATTCCTACTTTGTACATCTTTCTCAACCCTTCAAAATTTGGTTTTGCCAAAGTCACCAATGATGTGGCTAAAGTCAGCAGGTATGTCTCAGTCCTGATCCAACCTGACAGTAATATTGGGAACTTTTTTTTTTTTTTTGGAAACCCCTTGGGCTCTGGTGACGGCACTCACCCAGTTGTCTTCCTCCTTCTCTAGAGACCCCTCTCTAATGTTGCTGTTCCTTAGGGTTCTGTTCCAGTCCCTCTTTCCTCACATGATCTCCACTCCATTTCTTCAGTTACCATCTATGTTCTGATGTTCTCATACCTCACAAATCTCTTATCTCTAGTCCAGATCTCTCTCCTTAGCTTCAGAATTACTTATCCAACAGCATTATTCATTAATACTTTCCAACCTTTTCCATATCATGGCACACATAAAGAATGATGGTATTTTCATGGCAACACACCTTACCAAGACTGCTGTCTTTCCAAGGAAGTTCGTGCTCCCCTGAGGGTTGAGAAAATATGCAGCACATCTGTAACCTCTTCCTGGGGCACAACAGTTGGGAAGCTCTTACCTCTTGGATAGACATTTCCACTGGGACATCCTCCAGGCATTTCAATGTTAACATGTTTGGAAGTGAGCATATCATTTCCCAAAACTGCTCTTCCTCCAGGGCTTTCCATTTCATTGAGTGGCCCTACCATCTGCAAGTGACCTAGTCCAGAAGTCTTGGCTTAGCCCTCTGCTTCCCTCCCCTTCCAATCCTAAGACCTGCTGACTCTGCTACCATTACCTCTATCACTTTCCTAGTCCAGAGCACATCATTTCCCATTTTTCCCCTCAATTACTACAAAAACTTTCTGTCTGTTCTCCAACTTCAATCTTGCTCTCTCTAAACTGTTCTCCACATTGCAACCACAGTAATCTTTCTAAAATGCAATTCTGATTATGCTAACCCCCGCTTAAAGCCATTCAAAGGACTGATGTGAGCAGTGATCTACCGGTCACTCATCAGCACCATATGCACCATTAGACTATGCTGCCAAACTTGTATTACTAGCAGCTTGTAGCAACAAGAGGCCTAAGAGACCTAGCTTGTTTTACAACACAGACAGCTCAAGTAAAGAACAGTATGTGATGGGGGTCCTAGGTGGCTTAGTCAGTTGAGCATCCAACTCTGGTTTCAGCTCAGGTCATGATCTCAGGGTCATGAAATTGAGCCCCACGTCAGGCTCCAAGTTTAGCGAGGATTCTGCTTCAGATTCTCTCCCTCCCTCTCCCTCTGCCCCTCCTCCTGCTCTCTCTCTCTCTCTCTCTCTCAAATAACTAAACAAATCTTAAAAAACAATACGTGATGAATGGTATATTACAAGGGTGGAAAACCAACTATGGGACTTCTGTATAGTTTTTATTTATTTATTTTTTTTATTTCCTGTATAGTTTTTAATAATTTAAGTGAATAATACCACTGAGGATTTAAAGTGTCTTAAGCCCCATCATAGACAGAAAGTGATCATGGGGTAACAGTAGTTATACTTCTTTAACCTCCTATCAGTGAAAATGAAGGTTTATAAAGTATAGAGAATCTGCCAAAATCTGAATGCCTAAACTTTCAAGTATACAAGAGCCTTTGAGTAAGGAGGGCAGATAGTTGCTCTGACAAGTGCAGATGTTCTGGCTGTGTTTTTTTAAAAAAGGGTAAACATCTAAGTGAAAAGTATAAAAATCCAGATGGTCTGTTTATTTCCCAAAATTTAGTTATTTGGAAACATCCCAAAATAGTTAGAAATGCTTGGCACACTATTAAGGTTTTTTTCCCTATGCTTTTGGAATGCAGTAGATATAGGGAGTCTTACTGGATTTTTAAGCCCTGTGAGGAAAGGATCATGTCTAATTTTGGGTGTAAACCCATGACTAGTCCACTGATCCTGATTCAATAAATATTGGATGGTTGAATGAATAAGAATTAATCACTGCTGCAAGATTCCAAAAATGCCACTATCTATCATCAAGCTCCCTAAAGACTCCATCAAAAAACTATTAGAATATGATGGCTTAGTTGGTTAAGCATCTGCCTTCAGCTCAGGTCATGAGCCCGGGGTCCTGGGATGGAGCCCCATGTCAGGATTCCTGCTCAGCAGGAAGCCTGCTTCTCCCTCTCCCTCTGCCTGCTGCTCCCCCTGCTTGTGCTCTCTCTCTCTCTCTCTCTCTCTCTGTCAAATAAAATCTTTAAACAAAAACAAACAAAAAAACTATTAGAATAAATGACTAATAGGGGCACCTGGATGGCTCAGTCGGTTAAACGTCTAACTTCAGCTCTGGTAGTGTTCTCGGGGTCTTGGGATCAAGCCCTGTGTCTGGCTCCGTGCCCAGCGGGGAGTCTGCTTGTCCTTCTGCCTCTGCCCCTCCTCCACTTGTGCTCTCTCTCTGTCTCTCAAGTAAATAAATAAGATCTTAAAAAAAAAAAGGATAAATGACTAATAAATTCAGTAAAGTTGCAGAATACACACTTAATATACAGAAATCTGTTGTGTTTCTATATAATAATAAACTATCAGAGAAATTAAGAAAACAGTCCCATTCACAATTACATCAAAAAATAAAATACCTAGAAATAAATTTAACCAAGGAAGCGAAAGACCTGTACTCTGAAAACTGTAACACATTGATAAAATTGAAGAAGACACAAATAAATGGAAAGATACACCCTGCTCATGGATTGGAAGAATTAATATTGTTAAAATGCTCGTATTAGCAAAAGCAATCTACAGATTCAATGCAATTCCTATCAAAATACCAATGACATTTTTCACACAAATAGAACAAATAATCCTAAAATTTGTATGAAACCACAGAATACCCTAAATAGCCAAACCAATCTTGAGAAAGAACAAAGGTGGAGGCATCACAATCCCTGCTCACTGATTTCAAACTATACTACAAAGCTGTAGTAATCAAAACTGAATGATACTGGCACAAAACAGATACAAAGGCCAATGGAACAGAATTGAGAACCGAGAAATAAATCCACACATATGTGATCAATTAATCTATAACAAAGAAGGCAAGAATATACAATAGGAAAAAGACCATCTCTTCAATAAATGGTGTGGGGAAATTGTGCAATTATAAGCAAAAGAATGAAACTGAACCCCTGTCTTAACATTATACACAAAAATCAACTCAAAATGGATTAAAGGCTTGAATGTAAGACCTGAAACCATAAATGTCCTCGAAGAAAACATAAGCAATGAGTTCCCTGACATCAGTCTTAGCAATATTGTTTTGGATCTGATTCCACAGGCAAGGGCAACAAAAGCAAAAAAATAAACAAATGGGACTACAGCAAACTGAAAACCTTTTTGCACAGTGGAGCAAGCTCTCAAGAAAATAAGGCAACTTACTGAATGGAAGAAAATGTTTGCAAATCATAAATGTGATAAGGGGCTAATTTCTAAAATATATAAAGAACAACAGCAAAAACAAAAAATCTGATTTCAAATTGGCAGAAGAGGGGCAATGGGGCAAAAAAAATTTTTTAAATGAGTAGATGGTCTGAGTAGACATTTTTCCAAAGACACACTAATGGCCAACAAGCACATGAAAAGATGCTTGATATCACCTAACCATCATGGAAATGTACATCAAAACCACAATGAGGTATCACCTCACAGAATGGTTATTATTAAAAAAAAAAAAAAAGAAATAAGTGTTGGGGTGCCTGAGTGACTCAGTTAAGTGTCTCCCTTTGGCTCAAGTCATGATCTCAGGGTCCTGGGATTGAGCCCCATATCAGGCTCCCTGCTCAGTGGGAAATTTGCTTGTCCCTCTGCCTCTGCCCTTCCCCCTGCTCGTGCTCTCCCAAATAAATAAATAAAATCTTTAAAAAAAAAAAGTGTTGACAAGGATGAGGAGAAAAGCAAACACTTACACACTGTTGGTGAGAATGTAAATTGGTGCAGCCACTATGGAGAACAGTATGGAAGTTACTCAAAAAATTAAAAAGAACTACCATATGATCCAGCAATTCCACTCTGGGTTTTTATTCCAAGAAAACAAAAACACCCCCATGTTCACTGCAGCATTGTTTACAATAGCCAAGATATGGAACAACCTACGTGTCCATCAATAAATGAGTGGATAAATAAAATGTGTGTGTGTGTGTGTGTGTATACATACATATATATAATACATATAATATACATACAATGGAATATTACTCAGCCATAAAACAGAATGAAATCTTGCTGTTTGCAGCAATATGGATGGACCTTGAGGATATTATGCTAAGTGAAATAAGTCAGAAAAAGACAAATACCCTATGATTTCACTTACATATGGAATCTGAAAAACAAACAAAACCAGACATATAGATACAGAGAACAGATTGATGGTTGCCAGAAAAGAGGAGGGTAGGAGGGTGGGCAATATGCGTGAAGGGGATCAAGAAGTTTAAACTCCCAATTATAAATAAGTCATGGGGACGTATTTTACAACATGGGGAATATGGTCAATAATATTGTATTAACTTTGGTGACACATGGTAACTAGACTTATGGTGATCATTTTGCAATACAATGTTGTACACCTGAAACGAATATGATACTGTATTTCCATAATAATACTTCAATTAAAAAAAAAATAAGGTGAGCTTTCTCAGAAATGAAAACATGTTCAGGAAGAGATATGCACAAGAATATAACAGCCCCAAAACCGGAAACACCCAAATATACATCAACTGGAGAATGGATAAATAGTGATATAGTCATACAATGGAATATTACTCAGTAATAAAAAAGAACAGATTCACATTAGTCAAAAACATTACTAAGCTAAAGAATATAGACCCCAAAAATGCATACTATTTGATTACACTTATGTGAAAGCCAAGAACAGACAAAACTATGGTTATAGAACTCAGGAGGTTGCAGGCGGTGGGTGGTGGTAGGTGCAGGATAGTTGACAATAAATATAAAGGGGCATGAGGGAATTTTCTGGGGTGATGACTCACTATCTTGTTTTGGGTGTTACACAGGTGTATATTATTGTTGAAATTCACCAGATAGAACACCTAAGATCTGCATTTTATTGTATGTTAAGGATAAATCAATTTTAAACCAAAGGTGAGCGAGCTGGTGGTAATAACCATCATGACATCTTTTAGGCTCCAGTAATAACTGATCTCAGGCACTCATCTATGCTCAAGAACCCAAAATGACTTCTTTATCACTTATTCTGTCAAATCCATACCGTCATTCTGATCTTCTCCATACAAAACCTCCTCCACTGACTTACACTTCCCACCCAGCCAAGGTGATCTGCTCACTGTCCCAGGCAGCTAATTTGCTCTTCCTGCCTCTTTGTGTCCTTACCCTGCCTGAATCTATTCAAGTTCTCTGTGCCCTTCAAATCCCATTCTAAATTAGGGAGCCTCCTTCAGAGAGGAACTCTTGATTAATCCTAGCCAATTTGAGCACCCCAAGATCCCTCAGCTTTCATGTTCCTTTATTGGACTTAATATGATGCGTTAATACATTCCGTGTACACAACAGAAGCGATTTTAATAAAATGGGCAGAGACAGTGACTAGGGATCCCTTTGTATTTCTCTGCAGAACCCCAACCTGCATTAGCGGGCCAGTCACTACCATGCAGATTGTGAAGACTATACGGTATCCAGACAAGGGCAAATAGATATTTAATCAAGGACCATTGAGAATGGTACTGAAGGGAGCTTTGAGGCCCTGCAGGGGCCTAGGTGGGCTGTTTGCTTTTCTTTTAAGCACGCGGTTAGTTCAACAGGGCAGGCACTCGTTCCCATCAAGATAGCAAGTGGCTGAGAACAAGGTTATATCTTTTTTATGCTCAGCCTTACCTCCTCCAGTGAGGAAACGACCAGCACTACTCTGAAAGCAGCGGAGCCTGTTCCTAGCGCCCAGCTTTCCACACTACTGGGAAGACCCAATCCCGATCCGGAGAAGGAAAAGTGAGGAGGGAGCATTTAAGGCCAAGGAGGCACTCAAGCGTCGTCCCATAGATTTACACCCAACACGTAGCAGGAAGGCAAATTACAAACACCAACGCTCACAACCACACATACACGTGCACGCCCAGCCCCACAGAAGCAGACGCGCATGCCCGTGGCTCCGCGCGCACCTACTTAGTTTTCTCTGCTATAGATGCCCCTCATTCCACCCCCGCTCGGCCCAGCGCGTCTTCTCCTACCCCGGCACGGGGGAGGTTTACCAAGCCCGACCCGACCGAGCCCGAGGAGTGTTTCTCTATTGGGGGAGGGGAGGTCCTTCCCACCGGGGCGGAAGCGGCGCTCTCGGAACGGGCGGACTTAGCTCTCGTCCTGGGAACATCTGGAGGGGGCTGGGAGGGGCGCGCATCCAAGACGAACGTGGATTGGCTGCGCGGAAGGAGGGAGGCGAGGTCTGGGCGAGGGGCGGGGCTCACTGGCCCCTTTAAAGCCTTGACATCAAGAGGCGGCCCCAGCACCCCCCTTCTTCTGCCCCCCGCCCCCGAGCCGCGGCCATGGACCCGGCGGATCTGGCCTGCGCTGGCCCAGCTCAACACCTGATTTCGGTGAGTTCCAGGCCTACTTGGGATTTAAAGGGCGGCGAGTGGAGGGTCTGCAAGCTGTGGGCTGGGGGTGGGCGGTTTGAAGGGTAAGGCTCTCGTGGCAGCCTTGGGTCGGAGGGGGCGGCGCGCCTTCCTGCCCGGACCTCGCTGCCTGCCCCTCCCTCCCGCCCCACTGTCCCCGGCGGGGGTGGGGGGGTGGGGGTCCGGCTGCGACTCTGTCCACCCCCACCCCACCCCCTCCCGCCCCCCGCGCCCTCCTCGCGCACACTCCATGGCCCCGGAAGGGAAACTTTCGGGACAGGGGGATGTTCCGGGGGCCGGTCTCCCTCCCTCTTTGAAAGCACTGACCTTGCCCCAGCTGCGCACCCCACCCCACCCGCATCCCACTGTCCGGGTGCCGCTTAGCGGTGCAGGGTTGTTGCGCGGGGGGGGGGGGGGGGGGGGGGGGGAGGGACGCTCTCCCCAAAGCGCAGGCGCGGAGACGAGCCCTGGGCTCCTCTTCGCCCTCCTTGCAGTCCCCGTGGCCTGGGGCGGTAGGGCGTGGGGAAGATGGGGAGAGGCGGAGAGATCAGGGTCTCTAGGAACAATCCTTCGGTGGCTTTGAGGGGCTGCGGGAAGGACGGAGGCGGGGGGCCAGCAGGCTGAACACTAAAGAGAGGCTGAGGGAGGGAGAAGGGCTGGGCAGGGTGTGGGGCCAGGGCAGCGCCTGCAGAAAAGGCTCTCTGGGTCCTGGCTGCGGTGCCAGAAGAATGCAGAGAATTTATCTGTGCCCGACACTCCCCTGGCCTAGGCCGACTAGAAAAGCGGCTCACCGAACCCCAGCCCCCTTCTTATTCTGGGCTCAAGCTCTCAGGTCTCCAGCCCTGGCACTGCCCCAAGGGCACGGAGGTCCCTCGCCTCCCGCGGGCCTGGTTTTCCAGACTCTCAGCGCTGTCCACCCAGCCAGCCAGCTCCTACTTAAACGCTCGCCTTTCTGAGGAACCAGGGGTCTTAGACTGACGGCAGATCCCTCTTATTCCCTCCCAGCCGCTCTCTCCTTCCCCTTGGGTCCTCCTGCCTAAGCGCAGTTGTCTGCCAGAGGCCGCGGCTGGAGGCAGATGC